AGTCAATCAACAGGCCTAAATAAATAAGAAAATATTAATTATCCCGAGATATAATCAGTGGAACGAGAATAAACTACCCCTGTAGATTGAATAAAGGATTCAGTTCGAAATTGCCTAAAGGTTAAAACGGTTCGACAACATGGGGACTGGAAGGCAACGATCAATAACAACAAAGATGATGATAATAGTTCAAATGTAAATAACGTAAATATTGACAAATCCTAATCCCAGAAATCCTAATTCCAGAAATCCTAATTCCAGAAAACCTAATTCCAGAAATCCTAATCCCAGAAATCCTAATTCCAGAAAACCTAATTCCAGAAATCCTAATTCCAGAAATCCTAATCCCAGAAATCCTAATTCCAGAAATCCTAATCCCAGAAATCCTAATTCCAGAAATCCTAATTCCAGAAATCCTAATACCCGCGCTTTCAGGTTAACCACTGTGAAGTTTTTCATTTTTATTCGTTACAATACTTGAATCTAACCAACACGGCAAACGCTGATCCTGAAGATAACTGAGCGACCCAAAAGAAGCGCTCAAATCCACAGCAATTTCGAACGAAAAATGAACCTGTTTCAGGAAGAAACGTTTCTTGCAAAAGGAGTAGAGATCCTAACACCAGTTCTGTAACAAATGCTATTCAATCGGTAACTATTTTTCTCGTTCTTGAAAAAATGCTATCTACTCTTACTGTATCATCTATAAAGATATAGATATGAACAAACTGAGATAGATTTTCATACTAAATTTCACTCAATACAAGGCATGAGAGCCACTCAAGCTAGAGGATTAGGTTATGATGTTATGATGGATAAGGTATTTGATATGGATGAATGAGGAGGTGGTAGAAAGTGATTATTTTGAAGATAAGGAGGATAGATAACGACTGATCGTTGACTTGAAGGGGTGAAGATTGCAGTGTTTTGGGAAACAGCCACTCGGGAATACGTTCCACAAAGTGGCAGTTCTTGGGAAAAAGTTTGAGTGGAACTTTCTTATAACACTTGGAATACAGAGGAAGTGGCATGCTATGTCCTAGATGTTTGGTAAGGAAAGATTATGCAGCTCCAGCAAAGATATTGCAACAATACTCCATTTTTTTTACCAAATTTGGCTTTTGTAAAGATAGAGAGTGGCAGAAGTCATTAACTTCATAGATAGATAGATAGATAGATTTAACAGTGGACCAGTACAGTTTCGATAGAAAACTGTGTTGCAATGAGACCACTGACCCTACCTCAAGTTCCATAACGTATATTATTCAATCAACAACTATTTTTCTTGCTCTTGTGATAATAAAAGCTACTCTTCTAGCATTATCCACCCACTTATTAAAGGTATTGCTTACATGTAACAAGAACATATCAACTGCTACAATTAAGGGTATCCCTAACATTCGAGAGGCGTGTATACCCTAAGATACTTACTCTTGGCATTCAGATATTTCGCATTTTTCACTGCGTTACTGGGTGAGGGTTGCCTTCAAAAAAACTGCTAAAAATGTCACTGGACTTTGTATATCACCTACTAACACAATAAGAATCTGTCATCTTTAGGGAATGTAGATTATCGGGAACTTGATGTTAAAGTATAAATAGTTGTTGCATTTGCTGCTTATTATTAACAATCTGACACGGATAGATAGATAGATAGATAGATAGATAGATAGATAGATAGATAGATAGATAAACTGAGGAGAAAGAAAGAAAGAAAGAAAGAAAGAAAGAAAGAAAGAGAAAGGGATAAATGAAGGAACAGACGGGCACAGATAGATAGATAGATAGATAGATAGATAGATAGATAGATAGATAGATAGATAGATAGATAAGCTGAGGAGAAAGAAAGAAAGAAAGAAAGAAAGAAAGAAAGAAAGAAAGGGATAAATGAAGGAACAGACGGGCACAGATAGATAGATAGATAGATAGATAGATAGATAGATAGATAGATAGATTGATTCTTGTGTGATAAAATGGAAATAGATATGTATAGACTACGCTGACCATTTGCATCTATACTTGGTCATCATCTCCCATAACACCGTTGCGCTATTCCACAAGGATAATCCAGTAAGGATAATCCTCAGAATTGGTGGTGAGAACTATTATTGATATTACCGATGAATGGTGTTGCCATCACGTTTACCTGTCATAATCCCTATCTAGCATTTATGGGACATGATGAAGATGTGTATTTTTGCATGCAATTACTATGGAGATCAGGCCTCGACATCTCTTCTGTAGAATAAAAAATTATCGTAGGAAATTTTTACAATTACAGCGGCTTTTTAGATTTACGGCTGTATTATTTACGTTTCCCTAAACATATCTTTCTGACCAAATATTTTCATATCTCGATATATATTTATATATATATATATATATATATATATATATATATATATATATATATATATATATATCATGTCTGTCAATCTGTGTCTGTGTCAGTCTGTCAGGTTTGTTTATACCGCTCGCTATTAGTCTATGTCTGTATTTATTCCTGTTTAATCCAATCGCGCGCTGCTTCTGCAAAAAGTGTCCGCAAATAAGATAACCCAAAATATAGGTGAGCAAGCCAAAGATCTTTTCCTTCCGTTAACTTCTTGACCTTCCGTTTCGTCACAGTTGGCGCCTGCCAAGTAAAATCCCATTTCCTTATAAAGCGACTCTTGCCAGTCGGCAGCAATAATGACCAATTACTATACTACACAGAAATCCTTTTTATCACTTGATAGATAGATATGAACAGATTGAGATAGATACATATGAAGATAGATAGATAGATAGATAGATAGATAGATAGATAGATAGATAGATAGTCAAGAGGCAAAATACCTCCACAGAAACGCGATACCAAAGGTTTAAATTAAATTATTAAAAATGAAAAATCTTTCTTGGAGCTTTTATTTTAGTTTTGAACTCAAGCTAATAGATTAAATTTAAATTCCAATAAATAAAATACTTTTCTGTATTTCAAATCCAATTTAAATTAAACTGGAAGGAGTTATTGTTTTAAAATGGTTAAAAATCGCTGATTTTAGTGCCATTTTTTGCCATCTGTCATCACAATGTAACTCTATTAATAAATATTCAAAAATAAAATATACTTTTCTGAAAATTTATTTGAGAAATATCTGATTTAAAGTTTAATTAATCTGATTTGATAGAAACATTACTTACTTTAGTTTATAATATCGCAGAAATACATTTTTAACGCCGATGTAGATGTTTATTTAAGGTGTTGGCAGCTTGAATGACAAACGAATGTTTATCTAATTTTTTCTACGGTAGACATATCTGTAAAAATTACTTAAGGAATATGACCTGAACGCCTTTTTATATATTTTTAACTACCCTATAATCTTAAAAATTTAGGAAAATATTCTCCATAATCTAATTTTCTTTTTTAATTTTAGGTATTTTGGCTTTCACTTATTTTCTTTTTTAATTTTAGGTATTTTGGCTTTCACTTATTTTCTGATAATGTCATGTATGGAAGCCCGCTTTACAAAAATCTGCACATTTATATACATATAAAAAAAAATCCAGAATTCTTTTTAAAATATTGAGAGTCACTGAATTGTAGTATGGTTTCCATTTATGATTAGTAAATATAGTCTTTACTTAATAACTATGTCAGCTAACGGCTATAAATTAATACAGAAATTTAAAAGATTTAAAACTTTATAATTAAATTTTTTTTAAATTAAAACAATTTTTATAAAAATTCATTATTTATCGAATTTTTTTTTATCTTATTCATAAAAACAATTAAAAGCTTTTCTAATTAAATAATGTCTTAGTTTTATGGCATTTTTTATTTTGCGATTCACAGCAGATTTTCGGTAACTGAGGGCCATGTTAACGTTTTCAATTCTTCAAGGAATTCTGCGTATAACTAATAAAAGCATTAAGCAGTACAAAAATTAATTTCACGAAATTTCATGAAATTAAATGGTTGGATGGGGGAGGGGGGCTATCAGATGTAAAAAAAAATCTTTTTACCAAAATTTTCTAAAATAGAAACATTGCTGAAATAATTTCATTCATTTGTGAAAGTCCTGAGAAGTTTCATTGAAATCCCGCAATTTAATTTTTACAAGAATTTCCAAATCAATATGTTTTTCACCGCAAAAAAGACGCTACAATTTCCTATATCTATGGTGACCCCACCCGCCACCGCCCCAATTATCTCTGACGCATCAAAAATAAGATTTTTAACCAAAAACGTTCTAAAAAGGATCAAAAAATATAATTTAACAAAATCCCAAACTCCTTTGATCTTTCCTCTTATTAATAACAAAGATTTTGGCGATAAAACTTTGTTTCTAAGTTTCGGCTATTTTTTCATCATTGTATGCTCTGTTTTTAGCGAATCAGTGGCGGTACCTATGTGTATATATGTAGATGTGTGTGTGCCTGTGCGTGTGCGTGTGTGTGTGTGTAATGAAGTCTTGAAAAATATACTGCAGTAAGCAAATAATCCTGCGATAATCTGAAGCGAACATTAATAGCGTTTATTAATTTAACAGAAGAAATAAGAAACATAAAATATTATGTTACCATTTTAAACCAATTTCAACTGAATTTTTCTTGGCTTACGTGCAAAATAATCAGTAATTTTGCTATAAAAATCTGACTTTCACTGAATCAGCCTTAACAACCTTATGTGTACTGACTGACTTTAAAATTATCCAATTTTATTCCTTTAGAAATTTCATATCATTTTATTATCGAAAGCGCTTACGACAAACTGAATTTTGTCTTTCATCCCTTCTTCAAGTGAGAAAAATCCACCTAGAAAATCTGCATAAACAAACTGATATAGGAAGATATATATTTATACTTATGGCCATATTACGTTAAAACACCGATATTTGTCCGGTCATTAAAGTTGAGCAATGTTAGGTCTGATCGGTACCTATGTGGATAACCGCTTGGGAATACCAGGTGCTGTCAGTCCCTACCAACAGCGCTGTAATGACCAATTCTTCCACATGAATAGTCAGAAACCCCTCTTTATTACATATTTAGTTGAACAAGACGGGCA